GAACGATGAGTCTAAAATCTTCCATTCCTATTGTCATTAACGACGATCACACCTACAAATCAAGTCCACGAATTATGTACGAATCAGACATACATTAATACATGACCTCGTCTATCAAAAGCACATTCCTGTAGTATGTTATACCAGCCATACTACTTTTATGTAGATACTAACACTGCTAACTATGGTTACTTTATGCTAACAACATTAAAACATGTTCTGCTTTTGACATCCCCCAAACTAACATTCAATTCGAGATAATGTACACAAGACAGAGGATATAACGACTTTCTTACCAGAAAAGATTATTTCGCAATGCCAGTGGGAATAGAACCGTATCTATGGTAGAAATGGCGACAAATTTAGTCTTCTTGGAAAAGCAGTTTAAAATGAGAAAACAGCTTATGTGCGCAGTACGACAGAGCAATTTGATTTTTTTTAATGAATTAAAAGCAAACGTAGGTTTCTTACGAATTTGCATACACTGAAATGAAAGTCATGCGACATCGGCATTTCATTCATTTACAAACTTTCTTCCAGTGTGCTGTTGTGGTATTTCAATTTGCCCAGTTTGCGTATGCAAAAATTTGTATCAGTCTTTTGTAAACGAAGGTTTAACCTTATAAGAATTCAAAATGGTTTAAGCACCTGCATTGATAATATTTTTGGAGATAGTTCTAGAAAGGAACATTATCAAATAAAATCTACGATAAACTGACTGCCTAACCATGAAGCTTAACTAATAGCAATAACATAAAACCAGTTGCCAATAATTACAGTTGGATGAAACAAACAACATAAACAAGTGGTATATCTTTTCTCGAATTTACAACCCATCTATGGAATAAAAACTGAGAATTGGTATACAGCAGTTAAGGACTTGATTTAAAGGGAATATTTATAAGCATTTTTACAAGCATTCTTAAAGCAAGCTTTCTGTCCATAAACCACCGATAAAGGTAGTTGAAACTAATGAACAGACAACTAAAGGTCTTGCAAACATAAGTATCATCTTTGCAAAGGATATCAGTAACCAAGTAATAAAACCTTAAGATTATTGCAAGTTTGTAACTTATGTCTTCAATCTTTGGCATTTACTTTGAAATAACTTTTATATCTGTGATATCTACCAGAGGTAACTGGCATGGACAACCGAACGCTTATAAGATCGCATAACCATAGTCTGAAGGTCCAAAGAATGTGAACAGTTTAGTGTCCTTAAGTTTGCTATATTTATTTGAATGAGTCATATCATATTTGTTTTGATTAGAAGGTGAATGGAAATATTGTTCTCGCCACTTCCCTGCAAGTATTGTTGATATTATCAACATCACTTTGATTTTAAGGATATCTTAAAGGTAAATTGTAATTAGTTGACATTAAAATTTGCAACTGCATTGTTACTGACAAACTGGCCAATGCGCCAAGGCTTTATTACGAAATTAGAAAGTTAATATTAATAGTTATTCATTGATTTCCATTTCTGACAGTCTTATTTTTCTCCCAGGAGTGTAAACTGATCGGAAAGCAATGTCTGAACAAGAGGAAAGTTTAGCAACCGGTGACGAAACTTTGACAGCTGGAAGTGAGAAAGATCAAGAAAATGCGCCAGAAGATGTGAGTGTATACATAATATTTGGCATAATTAAATTAACAGAACGGTAAAATTATGCTCACTCCTTAGCAACATTTTCAATACGGTATACTCTTATTTGAACTTGTAATGTAAGTTAACCATTTAATGATGTGTATTGTTTTTATAGTGTGTTTTACATGTACCACAATGATTTTAGTAGATTGCTTCTTACAGACGAAAAATGGAATAAAATATGATGACCTAGTGAAGGCCATCTACATATTGGATGGACATTTTGAAACTATGTTCTCACAAAAGTATGTTATGGAATTTATTTGTGGGATGTGCTCCAGTTTTGGAGATAGATGAAGAGTTGATTTTTCACAGAAAGACAGATAAAGCAGTTGTGAATGCTCCAGTCTGGCTAGTATTACACCATCAGATCACTGATTTGGAGTATTATAAAAGATTATATATCTTCTCCATTCAATAAGATCTGTCATAATGTTTTGCTATGCGACTGCTGTATGTTTTATGCATTTACAGCATTTCTTTGCTTTGTACACAGACCACCATTATAATGTAGGAAAATGGTGGTACTACCAATCTACTAAAAGTGAAAATTGTGCTTTCATGCATGCATAACAATGAGAGAATATGTCTGTGGATTAAGCTGTGTTGTACTGTCAAGTCATGCAGTCTGAATCACACTCATCCTCATCCAAGTTTACTAGTTGTGTTTCATACCACATGATTATTTTTTATTTGGCGTTGTTGCATGAGTTACATTATGTTTCTTGTGATGGTGGTAAATTAGTCTGGTTGTTTTTAATTTTGAACATTACTTTTAATTTTATTTCTATTTTATTATATTGTCATCTTGACCGAGAATGATTGGGAAACTCTCCACATATCACCAAACAGAGACTATCAAAAGAACTTCAGAGCAGCCTTTAGCAGAGTGTGGTCAGGGCTGTTTGAAGGGCCTTAACAAAGGTCAGGACCCAGCAGTGATCTGAGTGCCTGGGGTGACTGAAGTTGTTTCTTCTAGATCAATTCGGCACAGAGAATATTGTATAAAAATTGGTGAATAGCACAATCCCTAACATATTTAAAGAAATACACAGGACAGAACAGAAACTGTTTTTCTTGTAATATTAATGTCAGTGTCTTATAAAATTGTCACAATTTTTGTATCTGTGACATCTGTTTCAGTTTGATATTCATAATTATGTTTCTCTGGAACCAACACAAATCAAACACGTCCTGCACTGGCAGATCTTGAAGATTTCATGGAATTTAAATGTGATATGGAAAAATCTTTCTTAACTGCAATGGTATTGTAATTGCAGGGCTGTGGAGTCGGTACTAAAATCTCCGACTCCAACTCCATAAAAGCTCAATATGTATTCATCATCATCATCATCAGGGATTAGGCACTAATGCCTGTTCCAGCTTCAAATTGATCTTCCCATCTTCTTTTTGGCTGACCTCGATCTCTTTTCCCAATAGGTTTGTAGCGGAACGCAGCCTTAGGAAGTCTGTCTTCAGACATTAGTTCCAATATGTATTAATAAAGGTAAACCTACTAAAATGGTAAATGGCACCATAATTCATCACCACCATGTGAATAATCAGCCTACTTTTTAGACTTATAACCCATATTTAAATATACGTCTAATTGTTATTCCAGAAATCAGTTGATTTGTAGACAGTTTGTATTCTTAAGGTACCGGATCCAAAGTTACAGAGCATTATTCCCACATCGTTGAATCTGCCTAAGCGTGAGGCTGCCAGTGGCTCACACGGTATAGAAATTGTTCTTAAGATTTTATATCGAGGTCAGAGTCAGTACATTTTTACCGACTCCACCTAAAATTGCTTCTGACTCCGACTCCACAGCCCTGTGTAATCGGCAAGCAACTTGGCATGTGGGTGGTCACATTTCTATGAAATAGACAGCAATTCTACTGGTAATTGAAAATGTATTTTACTGTGGACTATGCACAGCTTGAACTGCTATTCAGAGCTGAAACCTAAGGTACATGTTTTCAGCAAGGCGTGGCCAAGAATTTCACCATGACTGTATAACCTGCCCATAATGGTTGCTCATGCACCAAGTAGTTTGCCTGTGGTTGTACTTATATTACTATTATTTCAGGTTTCAACAACAGATATAGAAAAATTGGAAGAAGCTAAGCTAAAAGCCAAATTTCCTATGGCAGGAAGACCTATGAGTGGCCACTCAGTCTTTTTGCAGAAGAGGCTTGCTAATAGGGTAAGGAATATTACGTTTTTGTTATAATTTTACTTTTTTAAATTCTGGTGCAATGGAATCCCTGTTTAATGTTTCTTTGTTTAAGGTTTTTCTTCCATTACTGTTCCAATTCTGTGATTCTAAATCCCATTATTTCACTGTTAAATTTTCGGTACCTGTTGGTTATCGGGACACAAAACGGGAGAGTCGAATATCTGGACTTGGATTGGATGGAAAACTGCGCATGCATATCAATATACCCGTATACTCGGTTGTTGTTATCTGTTGGTTCGTTCAGTTATTTATTGCTGTTCGGTACCATGTTAAAAAATCTAAAATCTATAAGCGAACTTTGGTCTCCGGAGACAGGTTGTAACAACAATTAACATGCATGCATATCAAAATAAAATATAATAATTTGTCATTTATTGAAATAAAATATAATAACTTTCAAGTATATGTCATTTATCCACATACATTAACCTAATCTAACCTATTTTTAAAGCGATGTGTCCCGATAACCCACAAGTACCAAATTTTCTTAATTAAAGGTCTTTTCAGTTAATGTCTGACTATTATCTCCTGTGGGAACATTAAATGGAGGTTTTGGTCTAAAATGTCTTCAGATCTTCAAGTCCATCCTTACCCCCTTATACTTAGAAATGTTATTCCACATGAATTTTGTATCAGTATCAGAAGATTTTTATATCAGTTGGACCTTGAACATGGCTGTCTTCTGGGTCGTACCATCGTATAGTCTGGTAGAATTTTATTAACATTTTAGAGATATTATGATATTATGAAACTTATCTTAGTTTTACTTCAAAATGCCAGTATTACCTACAAGAAAACACACATTACCCTTGCAAATTTAAGTATTTTAATCTTAAAAAAATATTGTTCATTCTGAGAACCAAATGAAATTCATAAATGGATATTGTGACATGAAAATTTCTGAATTTAAAAGCATTTGGCAGAAAATACTTACCACTAACATGCAAAAGGTTTTAAATTATTCAAGTACCCAATTAAATTCAGTCTTCAACTTTACATTTTTCTTTTACTTTTATTAAAATTGCTATTCTTAAATTACAGTGATATATATTTATAATAATTAAAATATTTTAAATTTTATAAATCATAGATTTCATTCTTAAACATCGTGTATGATTTTCTTTGTGTGACATAACTATGATGGTTAATAATTTATTTATTTATTTTATGCAATAGTCAGAGTTCCAGTTCTTTAGTATTTTCAAATAAATAAGAGTAATTTTATGCTACCAAAACATTACATGATATATCAATATGATGAATTCATATCAATATTAAATAAATTTCCTGGATGTATCATACACATTTATATGTATGAACTGACATATTTATTCATGTTATTAAATCTAGCTGGGCTGTTTTCAAGTATGTGAAACAGAATCTTTCCAATATTTTTAAAGGTTGTACTAAAGTATCTTTTGACCCTGTGTTGATATTTTGTAATTTGTTTTGATATCCTGTCAAACCTTGCAAAGTTCTTTCCAAATACACTTTTGTTTGTCCCCTGTCATGTAAGTTTAATACAGGCAACTCTCGGTTTACGAACGATTTCCGTTCAAAAACGTTGTTTGTTATACGTTTTTGTTCGTTATGTGTATCTTGCATTCCTGAGCTTTTACGATACGTATCGTATACATTAGCAGCCATTTTAAAGCATTAAAACCATGTACTAATTATCATATAATAATTTTCTGGTAATTATTGTAATAAATACATTTTTAAAAGTTTATTTATTTAAATCTTACGGTTATGTTCACTATACGTTTGGCATTTCGTTTTATAAGGAAATCTATCTATTGACGACTTTAAGAAATTTTGAATGAATTGTGACGTTCGTTATAGGAAATGTTCGTAAATCGAACGTTTGTAAACCGAGAGTTGCCCGTACTAAAAACAAATGTTATGTGACAGTACATAAAAGTATGTAAACAATTAAGGTAATGAGTATCAATTGATTACCTGTTTAACTTTCCATTTTCCATTCTTGGTCACCCTCAATCCCTGTATTATTGTTTGGCAATTTTAGATTGTGAAATTTTCTTTTCCACGTAATTAGTTTCAGGTACACCATGCTGAAAATATGGAATTTAATTTCTTGAATATTACCTCCAGTAGGAGTTTAGTTTAAAGTAGTTTTATGAGGAAATCTGTGATGGGAGCAGCCATTTGCTAGGAGGAATCCTGCAAAAAAAGACTTGAAAAAGTAATTTAACTTAGTTTTTCATATATAAAATACTTAATGAGCAAATATTAATTTCCTATTTCTTATATGTGGTTACTTTTATCTGTGATGACAGCAAAAGTATTTTGATTCTGGCGATTACCAAATGGCTAAGCAAAAGTCAGCTGCAAAGGCCCGCCAAGCTCCGGCGGTCCTGGCATATGCGACAGGCGACGCAATCCCGACGCCAGAGAGTGTGCCCGTCCGCAAGACATCCATTATTCAGCCCACAAAGTTTACTTCCAGCTCTACCACGTAGATGTGAACTTTCCACTGCCACAATGGTTGAGGGAACTGTGAATATCTGGCAGCATACGCATTATAGCTTTTTTTGAAAATTATAATTTAAATGTTTGGTGTACTGTGTAATGATTTTTTAAGTTTTGGAACTTTGAACCACTGTTTGACAGTGCTGTGTTTGAAGGTGGGGAAACAGAAGAACAGGTAGAATATCCGTGGACAGATCTAGGCGATAGAAGACCACGTTACAAACATATATTCATACGATACATATTGAAGCTTCTAAATTGCATGCCTTGCCCATGTGTCCAGTCTCCGAGGACCGGTGTCATTTTCTTCTTTTCCCTGTACACTGTTCCTGTAATTTCAAATTGGTTTGGTGAATTGAATTTTAAGGCGTGAAATTGTAAATTTGCCGAAGAGCACATCTGTGAGGAAATGCAAAGCAAGCAAAAAAAAAAAGAGGAAAACGTAAGTTATCAACGAAATGTGTTATTCATGTTACATTGGTACGTTAAATATCTTCTGTCATAACCTTGTTTGTATAATGTAATGAATATTTAAGAGGTCTATAAGTTGTTTTTGTGTCGTAAATTAAGTTTGATATATGAAATTAATACTTTTGTCATTCTGTATCTGTGAAGAGGAATCAAACTCATTTTGTATCAGTCGGAAATATCTTCTGTTGTAATATGGGGAAAACAATTAAAAGAATGTCACTTTTCGGTGGAAATTTTTTGAAGATTTTAATTAAATCTGACTTTTAAAATTTGTGGTTGGAATTAAAATGGAAAGAAAATTACAGATTAACCCCCACCCCCAGTTTGGTTTTCCTTCAGACATCATTTGAAAATAAAGAATACTCACGAATGCTGTCCTGAAATTGTTCGGTATTATTATTGTGACACGAAATGGAGTACTACTGCATTTGCCCGAAATATAAAATTATTCTCTGTTTCAAATGAGAAAACTCTCCCAGATTTTATGCTCAGTCACATCCCCTGCTCCACTTAGTTTTTTAAGTTATGAATAATGAATTGGAAAGGATGTGGAAGGAAGCAGTCATGGCTGAATTTGAGGCACTATCCTAACTTTTGCCTAGTAGGACTTTGAGAAACCATTAACCAGTTAGCGGTTATGTTCAGTCCCAGTCATTGTTCAATACGCACTGTTTTTTCGAGCTGTGAATTAAAATGTGTGTAATGAATGAGGTGTTGACACTCCATTGTTTCTTAATACACAATTTTAGCATTCTGCTAAAGACTTATCCTGGCAAGACATTATTACAATGATAAAAATAAATACAGGTAGCCCTCGATTTACGCCGGGGATGCGTTCCTGGACGAACCGGCGTAAATTGAAACTCTTTTATAATGTAAATCAATAGGAAGTCAATGACATGCGTTTCCAGCACCAAAACATTGACGAGTAATATAGTGGCATTACATTTAAAGCTCTGAAATGACGTAAATAAATTAAAGGGAATTTAAAAAAAATATATTTTATACACTTACAATCGGCAATTCGTTGGTCCCCGCGATTGACTGAGATTCTTTCGTGTGATCGATGTGTACAGTAATCTCTGCTGTTATGCGATAGTTGCATTCATGTAAGACGCCAACCTATAGAAAATCGCTTAGTAAAAATAACCCCGGTACCTCCGCAGAAATGAAATTAGTCCTTTGAAAGTTTAAAGCGCCAGAAATGAAATTGCATAAGAGAAAACTCGCATATGCAAAAGTTTGCATTTTACAAACAGCTTCTATCGATTCATCGATCTCATTGAAGCAAATTCGATTTTACGAAATACGTAATTGCAGAGATGATTGCATTTATAATTTGTATTCAAAATCAGCGATATAAGAATTACGACTTAGTATACGAATCAGCACGAGATACATTGTAAAACGTTATAAATAATAGTAAAATATATTTTTCCACTTTCTGGTTTCAAAATCGGCGTTATTCTGAATCGGCGCAAATCGAGGGCTACCTGTACACGATCTTAAAATTGTGGACTGTGATCATACGTGGTAAATATTCATGCAACGTGTTCTATTATAAGTCTGTGATACAGATCCTTTTGTGGAGTAATGCACATTCAGTTGGTGAAGAAATTCCTTGCTTTTTAATTAATCCAAAGGTTCATCAGAGTATTCACAAAAGCCCACTACTGAACCCACATCCTGAGCAAGTTCAATCCAATCCACACCTTGACGCCTTGTGTGCATTTAAATATGATACTTTTGTGCGTGTATTTGCCTCATTATTTATTACCAAAGGTTTACAAATTAGAAGAAAGATCATGTGCCATCTATGTTTGCGTACAGTATAATAATAGGCTCCAGATACATATAAGAATATGAGATTTCAGCCTTGAACACGGAGACTATACTTCTCTGAAACGTTTATATCAACCTGCAAGTCCACATTGTGGACTGCTCTGAAGACCAACATCAATATGAAGCCCCTAACTGATGTGTCCCAGTTATTTGTGTTCCCCAATACGAGTGAAGAGATTTACTCCGCAGAGTATACTAAGTTCCAGCGGTGTGCTTTGTTCCACGTCGATCGAGTGAAATGTTAAATAGTTTAGATGGCAGCACGAATAATACAAATGCCACTGAAAGACGTCATACGAAGCGAACATGCCAGTGTTTGGTCCCACGTGGCTTGCGTCATAACGGAGGCTTATCCCTCGTGGTTCCGCCGGTGATTGGGCAAGGTGTGCGGCAATCAGGGTCTAGGCCGGCAGCATTCATTTATTTGAACGGACGTATTTCAACGCAACTATTGTTTTAGTGATATACCTCTGATTTCTAAGGTATTTATTAGTAATTGTAAGTTATAAATGTACTTTTTGGAACGTGTGAAGAACTATACCATATAAAGCTACACGAAAGAAGTAAGAATGGCAGCTAATTACCGTAGAAATCCAAACTATGAACAGCTAGGCATTCATGATACGCCTCTCACATATGCAATTGAAAAGGGGGACTTCAAAGCAGCCGAAAAACTGATTGAAGAAAATGTGTCGCCATCTTATTTAGACGAAGGTATTGTTGTGTATAGTAGCAAGATGTATAAATTTTGTTAACTTGTTTATGAGCAATTAGTAATTTCATTTTCCTTCCCAGGTCCCTTTCAAAGAACTCCATTAGCGTTGGTGTTATCAAGTCATCCTGAGTTAAGGAAATTTCCACGTCATCTTCGATTGGCTAAATTATTGGTTGAAAGAGGAGCTAATCCTAACCTTCGAATGCCAGAAGCCGAACGGCGAGGATCGAGCGTTAGTCCTATGGAATATGTCTTGTCTTTGTATGAACATGCCGATATTCTCTACAGAAATGAAATTGATGTTATGTTAGTAATAAACATATTTTATTTAAAGTGTATTAAATAAGTAGATTGATGAATGTGTAGACAGATATTTGCCTCCCGTAGATTCTAGTAAGCAGGATGTGGAAGGAGTAAGATGTACAGTACGATCACTACACCTAAGCCATTTGTTCAATAGTAGTTGGAATAATAGAATATAATTCTTTTGGCATGAAAGGATTCCATTTAGATAGTCATGGCACAAAATAAATGAATAGAAGAATTATGAGTGCCAAGTTCCACACCCTAAAAAATTCATCATTCAGTCATTGGGCCATTTTATATATAACCTATAGAGTTGGCAGAGCAGGTTGGAATAAACCTTGAAACAAGGACCCATATTTTTTAGCTTCGCAGGCAAGAGTTGTTGATACTACGAAGATGAATTTGTTTCAAAACTTCACATTGAGGGTAATATATAAATATACATTGATCCAGTATAGGTATTCTACTGTTCACGATGTCTTTTCCCATGCCATCTGGTTTCGTTATTAATATATATACAGGGTGAATACAAATGAGCAGAGCAGTTTCAAATATTTATTTTAACAAAAACTAAACAGCATACAAAAATGAAACATACATGGACTGGAAGGAGAACTTTGAAATATTTGATGTAGCATATAGGAGAAGTGGCATAACTCCAGTGATCACCACTAGGAGGACAATTCTTGATATGGCGGTAAAATAATGACTCAGTCCAAGAATGTTTTAATTGAATTTATACTGTGGACTTCCTTAAAAATCCTGTTGAATGTTGGTCACCAAGTTAACGTAACGAAACCGAAGCTCACAAAACATTTTCATCAGTTGAGTCGCCATTTGACGACCGTCAACAGCCATTGTTGGAGTTATATCACTCTTCTTGCATGCTACAAAGCTTTTAAGTTCTGCCTCCGATGGTGTAAGTTTTGTTATGTATGCTGTCTGGTTATCTGAAATATTTTAAACCACTCGCATCATTTGTGTATGCCATGTATATAACATGCCACATGTCCTTTATTTCAAAAAAAATTAGATTTTCATTGGATTTTAAATTAAAATTACACCTATCCCAAGATGGATTTATTAAATCAAATCTGCTGTAACTAATGTAATTGCATATTTTAAAAGATTAAGTCTGACATGAAGGCTAGTGTAATGAGTAACTAAAAATATTGATTTAGTAGTGTTAAAACATCGAACACCATGATATTCTAGCATAAAGTTTGTGGCAGTCGTGAATTAAATAATGTTACGAAATAAATTGTAAAAGTTCACATGGGTCAGATCCAGCTAGTGATAGGGGGTTCCCCATGCCAGATTTAGATCTTCCTTCATTTACATATTAAGGAAGTTTTCTTCTTCAGTGTCTGTGCTGTTGGGCAAGGCTCCATCACCTCGAGACCCCTAGTTTTTAATCATTCTAGCGCAGTCCAATATGCTGCTGAATTATGCATTTTTATAGGAATGTGGAAAGTGTGTGTATTACTATGAATAGCTTTGTTTTGAGTGAATTTGACCTTTTATGTTTCAGAAAAGGTTATGGAATTTTTGTTGACCCACTATTTACAATTGGTCTACACGATGAAACAGAATTAACTCTTGTTCAGTTAAAGGAACAACTCATAGAGCTTTTAGATGTCTTGCTAGGTATGTCATAATATACTTAGTTTTATGTGTGAGGCTAATGACTTATCCCCGTCAAGTATCAAGATGACGTTGAGATCTAGAATATGTGGATTATTGTATCCATGCTACCATACACTTAAATGATATTGTGCGTAGGCACTAAAGCAATTTTATACTTCATTTTCCATTGGATAAATTGTGAACTCTGATTTCAGCATGTGGTGGCAATCCAAATATAATTACCAGTATGTCCTGTTCCACTGTGTACCATTTTGTCTTGGCACATCCTGATCCAAACATTGAGCTGGTTATGAAGCTGTGTGAAGCAGGTATGGGCAGATATCACATTCCAGTTTGCAAGGCATGATAATACTAATAATAATAATAAATATCCGTGGTGTAACAGCCCTCTGTGAGCCAAAGCCGACTAAAGCTGGCTTCACGTTCTAGCTTGACTGCTGGCCTCACGTTCACATACCTAAGCAGAGGTGAACGATCATCCAACCAGATATAGGGTGACGTGTGGTCAGCACGACGACCCCCCAGCCATTGCTAGTTTTCATGACCGGATTACGCTACCCATCGTAGCTCCCCAATTTCCTCACGATGCTGGGTTTAGCACCGGTCCCATACACCGGTCGAAAGCTCATGAGAAAATTTCTTCTCCCCCCCGAGACTCGAACCAGCGCGCATTCCGTATCATCGGTCCGAAGCATGATGCCTCAGACCGATTTTTTATATCACGTGATGCCAGTTCTTGAGGTTTAACCTTTCTCATGGACACCAGTTATAATGTAGAATGGGCAGACTCCTTTCCAAAATCAGCTTCCTTCTTCTTCTTCTTCTTCTTCTTCATTGTTGTTATTATAATATTAATAAAGTTACATCTCTTGGGGCAGCAAATAATGGCCACATATGTTTTAACCCTCCAGCGCTCGCGTCCACCCTTGGAACGTTCCGACTCGCGTGTGAGCGCCGCGCCGCAACCCATCAATTGAGCAAATACTTAATCAGACTATTACTGACTTTTAATTTATTTATGGAGTTACGATTAAGAGACTAATAAAATGTTAAAACATTGTATAAAAGTCCAATTGAAGCTTTGATTTCATCGATTGAAGTTTCTAAGCAGTCTCTTTGCCTGGAATAATTTTCTCTAATTTTTTCCAGTTTTTTATTTGTGAATTTTGTGATATCACC